GTTTATGGCGAGTTTTTAATTCACTATATTTATTAGAATATCAGAATAATGCAAAGTTTAACTGGATGAAATTTCTTAACATTGTTTGAGCAAAGTTTATAAAGTTTAGATTGGTTTGGCTGAGTAAACTTTATAATTTTATATCTCCAGGAAGCAAGAATGATATTTGATACTCACATATTATAACTGGAACCATTTAAGTACAGTATACTGTTCATTTCTTTAAGATTCAGCAAACATTAGGTTATTTTCTAAACATTTTACAATTCGCCCCCCCCTCCCCTTTCCTCAGAAAACAACTAATATTATTTATATTTGAATAGTGGCCTGAATCAAATTTATTTGATTGTATTCAGGAATAGAAGGGAGATATAACTGACGGGGTACTCCATTTGTATAAGAAATATTCAGAATAGGTTATTGTATACGCGGTAATTGTACATCAGACAAATATTTCTTATTCAAATGAAGTAGCGTCTGCAAGCATGTATAATCATATGGTAGGGCGAACTGCGTCAGTTATATCTTTCTTCTATTCCTTTCTCCCTGATTGTATTTTAAAAAGAACATGTCAAATCCTTTTTTGATCTTTGCCCAGTGCTCTTTTTTGAAAATAAATTTTAAAATTCTCAAATACATATGTAATTAAAACATGATTCATGAAACATTCTGTAACATCTGTAAGAGCATCCATAAATTAAAAACTCAAACTCAGTTAATTGTGAGTTTTTTTTTCTTATTCTGAAAGTGGAAAAGAATATAAAAACAAAATTGCACTTTCTTGCATTGTGAATAGTAATTTCAGAAGTGCAACAGTAAAATAAAACCTTCCTTGCAGTTTTATTAGCATAAAGTTGTATTCTTAAATTTTAAAAAGGCTTTAAAAATAAAGTTTTTTTGCACGTTCATGAGCCTTTAAATGTTAATTGGAAATTCAGGATTAAAATAATTGGAATTTTATGTCTGCTGCTGTGCTTTAATTTAATTTGAATTTAAGATTTTATAAATGGAATTTAAATAGAATTAACCAAGCTTTCTTAGACAAAGCCGAGGAATTTGACACAAATAAAGCTATAGATTGGATGAAATATCCCAAACTACATTTTAATTTTTTTTTTATTTAAAATTTTTATTAAAATTTTGTTATTATTTTAAAAAGAAATTGAAACAAATCGTTTTCCAATAAAAACAATATAAAACTCAAGCAGTATTGGCCTGAAGATGATAAATGTGATGTTTCTTAATCCTAATATTAATCAGAGTAATCATTTGTCTGTCTGTCTATGTAAATTAGTTTTGACTTTAGCTCAGATTTAGTTCTATTTTGTATACTAGGTGAAGTGCGCCTGGAGTTGCACGTGAAATTTTAAAAACTAAGCAAAAATGTTTATTTTGTAGATTCAAAATAATTGAATATTTACGAAAACAAGTTATTTGAATTGCTAGTCGATGATTTTGAAAATATTGTTTTAAAACAAATCCAAAAGATATTTATTCAATCCTTTTGACAACAATAAACAGGCTTATATATTAGAATATTCATTTTTGCTGAGTTACAGAGATGGCACATAGATTCAGCCTAATGCTTTGATTTTTTTTTTGTCCTCGCACTCTCGATTTTTAGATTATCACCGTGAAATTTTTGGATTTATAAGAAATAGTTATTTAAAGGACTATTTGTATTTTTTAAGCATAAGAGGGTACAAGGTTTTCAAAAGTCTGGTCAGTGTTAAAAAAATCTAAAATAGCCCATAACTTTTGACTAAAGCTACAAATCTAAAAACTATATTCTAAAAAGTCCTTACAAAATGGAAATGAAAACATGTGTCACATCTTGATATTTTCTCTAAAACAAAAAAGGATATTTTTTTTCTCACTTTTCTGCCTCCTTTTTTGCATTTGTTTCAACCCTTCCTAGCAGTAGCACCCAAACTATTAAAGATCATGCATTTTAATTCTTTACCTATACTGTAAGGCCTTCTTCTAGGCTATAGATAGATTCAGAACCCCCCCCCCCCCTTTAGTAGGGTTACGAAAACATTTATAAACACAATCGCTTTTTTAATATCGTGTTTTCTTTTTTGCTTTTTTAAAAGGGTAAAAACGTAAAATGCTTTTACTTTAGAAAATCAAGAACGAAACAAAACACAATATTTTTTTTCGTTCGTTTAAAAAAACAATTAACACCCTCCTGGTCCCAACATATACTTTCTATTCTATAAAATAATGAAAGTTTTAGACTAAAAATATTATATATTTATGAAGAAGAATAATGATGGAATCCCTCTTAGCGATGAAATGAATGAATGAACTAAAGAAATATTTCTGGCATAAATGGAATCTGGGTTATAGAGAATACTTAAGTGTTAGAAACCCCATTGAAAGCATAGTATACAATAATAAAAAGAACTCAGATGTTATTTTGGGGAACATTTTTTTTGAAGACGAGCCACATAAAAATATTTATTTTTGTAGATACAGGGTGAACAAAAAACAAAGGATTTATAGCATTGCTTTACACAAAACTAAAAGATTGTGTTGGGTTCATTGTGAAAGGTAGAAAAACATATCAAAATATGTTGTACATGCAAAAGAAACAAATATAATTTTTGGCGCATACCAAAAAGCAAATTAATATTTGCTGTTGAAAAATCTTTAGAATTTGATGGAAAATGACAAAATTATTGTATCTTAAAATCACATGCAAATCTATTAATAAATACAAGATAAATAAAAGTCTGGGAAGAAATCATCGTCATTGAAGTACTATTGGAGACCCGCATGAAGGTCTTGCTAGAGACCCCCAAACTCTCATAGGAGACAAGCAGATTTTCATTAGAAACCCCATACTTTCGTTGGAGACTCACAGATTCTCATTGAAGACCACCAGATTTTCTTTGGAGACCCCCAGATTTGTAATGGAGACTCCATATTTTTGTTGGAGACTCCTAGATTTTCAATGGAGACCCCCAGATTCTAGTTGGAGACCCCCGATTCTCTTCGGAGATCCCCATATTTTCATTGGAGACCCCCAGATTCTAGTTGGAGACCCCAGATTCTCGTTTGAGAACCCCCATATTTTCATTGGAGACCCCAATATTTTAATTGGAGACCTATATTCTCGTTGGAGACCCCCATATTTTCATTGGAGACCCCTACATTTTCATTGGAGACCTATATTTTCTTTGGAGACCCCCATGGGTGCCTCCAATGAAAGAAAGGTCTCCAATAGCATCCCAATAATACTCCAATTATGATCATTTCTTCCCAGACTCGAGCAAGAGAACAAAATCCATGAAGAATTAATATTGCACATTTTCTACAAAATCTAAAATAAAATATTTAACTTAAAGCAAACAGTAACTTATCCTTGATCCATCATATTAAAAAGACTCTTAAAAAAAATACCGCATGTCTAAGATTGGCCAGGTCAAATTATAAATGTAAGAATCTGCAAATATCTATGTTTTAACTGTATTTTTTCATGTTTTAGATTGAAGTCAATAATGTTTAATGTAGTATAAAATATGATGACACTTTTATGGGAAAATTTAACATTTACACACTTCAAGGACAGCTCTTACATTCTATTTCATTTTATGTTATACTACTCTTGGATACAGATATTTTGCAAAATTAACCCTATTCCTGCTGGGGGGGGGGGGGTTGTCAATTTGACCCCTCCTGTAGTTTTTTACATAACCTAAAAAGTATTGGTCTGAGGCTGTTGAAATTTTCTGACTTTTCCTACATACCCAAAGCCCTCCCTTTAGGCCTAAAACCGGGCTTTAATACTAACTGCCTGTAACAAATTAAATCTTTGTTTTGACCCACTTCCACTTGTCAGATTTTGATAAAATTTAGCTTTTTGGAAAGCCTTTGACATAAGGAAACGAATTGCACAAGTTTTGCGAAAAAAAATTGCAATTTTTTTGCAAACAACCTGTCAAAGTAAATTTGCACATTTTTAGTTTTTCTTGATTAAAAATCAGGTTATTTTTGCAAACATTTTTATTATATAACTGGATTTTGCGATGAAAAATTCAGTTTTTGCAAGCACAAGAGTTTTCCAATGATGTATCATTTTTCATATTTGGACATCAAACAGGGGATTTAGAGATAGGGTTAATTTTCATATAAAAAAAGAAAAAAATCATGTTTTTAATTGGATGTTAAAAAGAAGAAGATGCATTCTGTTGACTGCTTTATGACAAACTTGCTTTCTCCTTCTGTTGTCATTTCTAACGCTTAAATTATGTGAAATTCTATAATTTTAAAGTGGTTGTTAGTTTTTCTAATTTGTCAGTACATTTTCATTTCAATTTATGTTTAAGGTTAAATTAAAGCACTTTTTAAACTTGTTCTTGTGTTACTTGTTCAAAAACTTTGCTAAACCAGCCAATAAATTCTGTAATCATGTTTGTAAAAAGCAGCTATTATATAAGTGTGAGAGCATGAAACTGAGAAATACTGTGGACTAAGACTGTTTCCTTTGGTAAAAGGGAATTAACTTTTGTAAAAATTAACATTAAACTGCCATAGATCACCTGACAATCTCCTTTCTTCCAATCAACTCCTTACCTATCCAAAACATATCTTGATATGTGTAACCAATTATATTCAGTATCGTTAATTAACTTAGGGCCAACCAATCAAATCAACCAACCCTGGTTAGGCGGGTCCAAACTGCATAGTAAATTGTGATTTCTTATTTGTAATATCTCATGCTTTGTAGTTGAATAAAAATATGAAATGAATTAAATGAACTGCTTTATAGACAAAAATGTTTTTAGTGATTTAAAAAAAATCCCGGCTCATATTGAATGATTTTTAAATTTTTTACATTCTTAAAAATGATTTATTAAAATCTAAAATTTAGAGAAACTGTGTGAATGAAAGGTTTAAATAGTAAAAAAATAAAAAAATAAAAAAGTAAAAAATAAAAACCAATTTTGATTCATGATTTAATTTTGTGCAAATCCGTTTTTTTGTGTTCAAAAGTATACAAATAAATAATGTATAAATCCTTATCAGTTTTTTCTCTAATGGGAGTTTTTGTTCACTTAAACAGGAGTTAACCCTGGAATTGTGGCATACAACCTAATAAGCTGTTTATCATTAGTTTGTTACGCACAAGACAGCATGGATTTTAAAACAATTTTGTTTTTATCATACTGGTAGCAACCTGCATTTCTTCTCCACTTATGCAAGGTACCTACCTAATATCTCAAGTTTTAAAGACAAAATTTCTAGTTCTATTTTGTTTTTTGATTTATTTAATTTATTTATATTAATAGATGATTTTTAGGCTTAAACAGAACTGATGGTAAATCTGATACAACCCTTGAGTGCACATTTTAGCAGGAGATGATACCTTGTAAGTGTTAATTAACATTCTTAGTTACACAAAGGAAAATATTTTTTGCCGTTTACTCTACTTTTGCAACCCGATGTCATTCAAACTATGAATTCTGTTATATGAAAATGTTTAAGTTTACTATAATAAAGGTTTACACCATCAAGTTTCAAAGATAAAGGTATTAGAAAATTTGAATAATTTGTAGCAAAAACTCGGTTCCTTTACATGTAAAAAAATTAACCCTATAAAGACTTGGGGGTCTAAATCTGTGCATATAAAGGGGGGGGGGCGTTCTACGCCCTCCCCTGTAACAAGGCCTTAACTAATAGGTATAGGTAGGGTTTTCATTTTTCCCGGATCAAAATTTCCATTTTGGAAATGGATTGATCCAGAAATTTGTTGCGTAAACCGGGATTCCGGGGAAATTCCGGTTCAAATGTAAACCGGAATGTTTACGGATTATGTGTCAGTTTACGGAATGGAAACCATAAAATTTCCAGTTTCCATTTCGTAAACCGGAAATTTTTCCGGTTTACATAACATAAACCGTAAAATTTCCAGGTTCCATTTTGTAATCCGGAAATTTTTCCAGTTTACATATATTGCTAATTGTAAAATTTCCAGTTTCCATTTAGTAAGCCGGAATTTTTTCCAGTTCACATATCGTTAACCATAAAATTTCCAGTTTCCATTTCGTAAACCGGAAATTTTAACACAATGTTAGACATTTAAAGCAATGTTAAAACATTAGAAGTTAAATTTATTAGCTAAAATATATTAAATACGCATTTAATTCTAAAATTATACATTCACAAATATTTTACTGCAGTTCATCATGACTATTTTACAGTTACAGTTTTCACTTTCCCTACAATATTTTTTGACAAATTAGTTTTTATTTTTCAAGAGGATTGTCGGATGTGATGAATAAAACTATATAAATAAGAATTTATAAAAACTAAGCTTAAATTTGATGAATTAAAAATAATAAACTTCGACATTTTTCCTGCACAAATTTTTAAACCAGTTTTAAACCTTCTGTTGGGCCATGCGAGTTGCCTCACAAATTTTGAGCTCGGTCGGTTCAGCTGTTTTGAGTTTTGACGTTTATTGGATACAAACAGACAAACAAACAGACGAGCAAAGTATATAAATAGAGTGAGAAACAGAAAACTCTGGAATAGGAGGACGACATTTAGACTTATGATATGACTTTAAATAGTTCAATGAACATGAAACACGGCAATTGTAAAGAGTTTACTATACTTTATACAGACCAATTTAAAAGTGATTTTATAAGTTACTATTCAAACTATTTGCTTTGTTACAACTAAACATCAAATAGACTCAAGGATTGATATGTCATCTTCCTTTATACAGTTTTCCGTAGATGAAATAATTTTGAGACGTGAATTTATATTTCATGATAATTCACTGTAGTATTACTTTAACTACAGCTAAACCAGGTGCACATTCGATTATTATGTAGATAGTATTACTAACTGCAGTTTTATATTTTACATAAGTTTAGATGTCTTTAACGTTTTTCCGGAACCTTTTCCCGGAAAATTCCAGAAAGATTTTTCCATAAACCGGAATTTTCCGGAACAATATTCTGGAACATTCCATAATCTGGAAAGATCCTTAATTTAGGAACAACATTCTGGAAATTTCCGTTTTGCGGGGGAAAATCGTTCCGGAAATTGTTCTGGAATTCCGGTTTCCAGAACCTTTTCCACAATGCAAATTATTATTTCCGTACGTAAGCCGTAACCCAAAATTACGGTGGAAACCCTAGGTATAGGGTTAAAATTTCACGGTGATAGTGTCAAAAATGAGAGTGCTAGGGCAAAAAACTAGAGGGGAGGGGGCATTTAGCGCCTCCTTCCCAAAGTTTTAGGAGTAAGAAAAAAGTTTCTAGATTTTTTAATTGTTTCAGAAGTTGGGAAAAGTGTGCACTTCAGTGTTTCAATGAAAGAGTAAGTAATCATGCACGTTAAAGTAAAGTAAATTGGACGTAAGTTTGAATTCTTATATTTTTTCTCATATATTTAACCGAGTAAATTTGCTTTCTTCATAAAATAATTAAATCAAATAAAGAGGAGCTAGGATAGTAAAAAGTCTGACCAGAATTGTCGCATATATTTGACTTTCTCCTTCTGTCACCCTACCCTCTGGATTCTGGAATCACCACCACCAATGGGTCTGCAAAATTAGAAAACTCGTTCTTGCAAAATATTTCCAATTTTTCAGATTTTTTGACAAAATTATTTAAATTTCACCTTACTTTTTATACTTTCAACTGTTTTTTGCAACATTGAAAAAAAACTTTAATACTTAAATTTTGACACGGTCCAATGGTAAATCACACAAGTTTGGGTCATTTTTTTAATACCTAAAAGTGTTTCCAGGGGGTTGTGATGCAGTGATGCAGTGATGCTAAAATGGTTATTATATGCAATTATTTTTTAATGAATAATGGATATAACTTAAAGTTTTTGCGTAATATATATTAGTGCACTAGAAAAACATCAAAATTGAAAATAAACTAGCTATTTAAAAGAAAATTAATTTTTGCCCCAAACTCAATATTATTATTCCTATATCTGTGCAACCCGATGTCGTAGATTTTCGATATTCGAACTATACATTCTGATGAAATATCAAAGGTTTAAACCATCAGGTTTCACAGAAATAGTGATTAGAAAATTTGAGTTTGTGGCAAAAACTCAGTTCTTTTAAATAAAATATGAAATATATGTATTATTTATTATTTTAGAGCTGTCTGTTTTGGTCTTGGAATATGGCAACTAATGATTGCTTATTAATGGTAATTAAAAGATTGCATCAACTTAAAGTTTTGAAAAATTTAAAAACAATTTAAAGCTTTTCCCAATTTTCAAACTTAAATCCAAAAATCGAAAATTATTTATGATTATTAACCTTTCTATTGTAGAAGCTGTCGCATAACATTTTCATTTTTTTCAGGATACTTGTGATTTAAAAAGGAGCCGTCAATATATCTCTGGAACATATAATTGTTTTGAGCAAGAAGAAACCAATGTTTAATATGAAATATGTTGGAAGTTATTTAAGGCATGTAGAGCTAAATAATAAGAACCCTAATTGGTTAAAAAAGTTCTTTATTTGTTAAATACACAACTTCAAATATATTTCAATGTTTCTATCATTAGATTTTATCATATACATATGTGGCAATATTGAGTAAGCAATTATACCTATATTTATAGTAATGTAAATAAACTTTATAAATTTGAATTTAAAAAAATTGTGTTAAAAGTAATTTATAAATATTTAAAAAATTTTGTTTGTTTATGTAAAAAAAAACTAAAAAGTCGTACAATTATTTGCTTTTAGGCATCATTAAAAGAAAAAACAATCAATATTTTAATGACAATTTGCTAAGGACAATTTGGTTATAACTTTATTTATTTATTATTTATAATTTGAATACATTAAACCGGTTGCAAAGATATAATTGTATTTAAAATCTAAGTATTCAGAATTCCTTTATCAAAATATTGGTTTGCGCGAAATTTTGATTTGCAAGACAGCACAAAAAATATGGTAAGTGAAGAAACACGTGCACAAAAAATATGGTAAGTGAAGAAACACGTGCTGGGAAAATACAGAAATTTAGAAAATCTTAACAAATGCTGGTGAACACAAGACTAACTCTCGGTCTTGTGTACCTTGCTCTAGAATTATAGAGAAAATAGGTTTTACATTATAAAATCATGCTTAAAAAACCCCAGCTATTTTAAGCAAGATTGTATCTGTAAAAAGCTGTTATCACTCCTGTATGCCGAGTCATTAGCGCCTGTTCCAATCTGCAGGGTTCAGTGTTTGCTGTCTATTCTGAACCAATAGACATATATATCTTATTATCCAATCAGAGATATGAATCCTTTAATCAGTAAGTGGAAATATTTACTTCCACTGAAACTATAGTGTTTTAGCAAGATTTTGTCTGTAAAAAGCAGCTATTGTTAGAAAGATTTTATCTGTAAAAACTCATTATAAACAAGATTTTGTCTGTAATAAGCAGCTACTATAAGCAAGATTTTATCTGTAAAAAGTTTCAGTTCTCAGAGTGTGAAAGCATAAAACTGACAAATTGTCTAGACTAAGACTGTTTTTCCTTGTGTGTTTTGGGAGGTGGGGGGGGGGGGGTTTTAACATTTTGTAAGATTCACGAGATTAACATTAAACATTTATTTAGTTCATTCAACATTTCTTTTTTAATCCTTTTTCAGAAGTGTGTTAATTCTTTCTACTTGGAGGTCTATATACCTCTTATTAATGTCTCTCAAAAAAATTTGGGGAGAAGTCTCTAAGTAGTTTAAATATTATGTTTTAGTTAAGAATTTTGACCAAAAACCCACTATTTCATTGAAAACTCTTAAAATAGAATTTTTCAACACGCTATTCTAACTAAATTAAGGTTTTGGGGTGCTGCTGGAGCCCCTTAATCATTTTTCCATGGCTGTTAAAATCTATTTATATATTTAGATTATCCCGAAACCCCTTTGCTTTCTTGTGCTTCTGCTATAAAATAATTTTTTTCTTCCGAAATACTCGCTATTTATATATACAGGATCCTTTCAAGGATAAATATATGAACGGGAAAAGTGAATAGAAATTGAAATCATCATAAACAAATGCTAGCTACAATTCATACAATGCTTTTAAATGCAAAGGTTATTAAAATATATTCATTTAGTCCATTTTCAACATGAAACACAAGACACAGTTTAAGAGGAGTATTGTGACAAAAACAGTCAACCCCCCCCCATGACCCCTTAAAATAACCCAATTTACTACTAATAATGCTAATAATAATGATGATAATGATGATAATAATGAAAATGATGATAATTTTGATAATGATGTTAATGAAATTGATGATGAAAATGATGATAATGATGTTAAAGATGTTAATGATGAAAATGATGAATATGATGATAATGATGTTAATGATGTTAATGATGATATTGATGTTAATGATGATAATGCTGTTAATGATGTTAATAATGATAATGATGATAATGATGTTAATGATGATAGTGATGAAAATGATGAATATGATGATAATGATGTTAATGATGTTAATGATGATATTGATGTTAATGATGATAATGCTGTAATGATGTTAATAATGATAATGATGATAATGATATTAATGATGATAGTGATGATACTGATGTTAATAATGATAATGATGTTAATGATGATAATGATGATAATTATGTTAATGATGATAATTATGTTAATGATGATAATGATGTTAATGATGTTTATGATGTTAATGGAGTTAATGATGATAATGATATTAATGATGATACTGATGTTAATGATGATAATGATGTTAATGATGATAATGATATTAATGATGATAATGATATTAATTATGATAATGATGTTAATGATGATAATGATGTTAATGATAGACCCGTTACTCGGTTATTTGAAAATTAGTTTTTTTTTTTGCTACACAACATCTTTTTTTACTCTATTTAGACCATGTTTGACAGAAGATATTAAAGTCATTTTCTGGCTTGAAAAATAAATAAATACTCTCAATTTCCTTTTTTACTTTGACAAAGGATTGTGGCACAATAAACTAAGTCAACAGTCTCTGTAAATGTACTGCATGACCTAGGATCATATTCCCTGAATTCAATTTATACTTTTTAGAGAAATTGATTTCTTTGCAAAATATAGTTGTCAAGTTAGATTTTCCACAAGAACGATCAAACAATTTACATTCTCTCGTATTTCACAGAAGTTTAACAATGATCATGTTTAATAAAGTCGAGGCCGAATTTGAAGAATTTGAGTCGTGGCTTAAATATGTTTTGTTCCTCTTAATATTGTATTCAATTTTTCAAGATTTAAGCAGGTGCTCAATCGAAACCAGTTTTTGGCAGATTAACGCGATGGCTCGAATTCATTAAATTTGGACATTTGACACAAAAACTTGAAGCATAAGAACTAAAGAAGTAGAATCAAGTTATGAATTTATTTTAGAGTTATAAATTCATTTATGAATTCTAAATTTATTTTATGAATTCTGAATTTATTTTATGAATTATGAATTTATTTATGAATTATGAATTTATTTATGAATTATGAATTTATTTATGAATTATGAATTCATTTCTTAATTATGAATTTATTCATGAATTATGAATTTATTCATGAATAATGAATTTATTCATGAATAATGAATGTATTTATGAATTATGAATCTATTTTTGAAGTGTAATTTTATTTATGAATTACTAGCTAAAGGGCCCTGCGCTACCTGTGGAAAAAATTAGATTAATTTGTAAATTAAGAAATATCTTTTTTATATTAAACAGTGCAGTTCAGTGCACAATATCAACTACCTATTAGATTTCTTATTTTATGAGATTTCGTATTTCACATTTAACGTTTTGTTAAATTAGCATAAAAGAAAGGCCTAGAATTGGTTAGGGTTTGGTAAATTATCATTAATGAAAGGTCTAGAGATGGGCATGTTTTGTTAAATCATCATTAATGAAAGGCCTAGAGATGGGCACGTTTTGTTAAATTAGCATAAGAGAAAGGCCTAGAGATGGATACATTTTCTTAAATTAGCATTAATGAAAGGCCAAGAGCTGGGCACGTTTTGTTAAATTATCATTAATGAAAGGCCTAGAGATGGGCACGTTTTGTTAAATTATCATTAATGAAAGACCTAGAGATGGGCACGTTTTGTTGAATTAGCTTAAAGGAAAGGCCTGAAGATGGGCATGTTTTGTTAAATTAGCATTAATGAAAGGTCTAGAGATGGGCACGTTTTGATAAATTAGATTTAAGAGAAATGCCTAGAGATGGGCACATTTTGTTTAATTAGCATAGTTTAAAGGTCTAGAGATGGGCAGGTTTTGTTAAATTAGCATAAATGAAAGGCCTAGAGATGGGTACATTTTGTTTAATTAGCATAAGAGAAAGGCCTAGAGATGGGCAGGTTTGGCTTTTTTAATTTCTTTTGAAAACTTAAAAATGAAAGATAATTTTTTGATTTTCTGATTTCCCTCCGCTTATTTGTTAAATTATAGAATTTTTTAAACTTTTTTTACACATGCTGATGTTGGTAAATGTTGTCTTTAATTCTTCCCGGCACAATTATCAATTTCTTATTTAACCTTTTTAACATGATTTAAGGCAGATGTTAAAAATTATATAAATTACTGCTTTTATATTTAGTATATAAGGGAATTGAGTCTTTGCCACAAATTCTGATTTATAAATCTCTATATCTTTGCAAACCAATTTCGTAGACCTTAGATATTTCAAACTATGCATGCTTCTAGATCAAATATCTTGAGTTTGAAATATCAAAGCTTTTCGCCATCAAATTAAAAAGACAAGTGTGTGGCAAAAACTCAATTCCTTTATCAAATGTTTCACTTTGATCAAGTTTTAATTAAACTAAAGTTAAAACTTTAAACATTTTCTTAGTTGACTTTAGTTCTATGGTTAAACATCAGTTTGATTGAATAGAATAGTTTTCAAATTACTGATTTTTTATTCTTTATAAAATCTTTGACATTTTAAGCCTAAATTATAATTTCAAACTTTTCCCATGCAGTTAATGTCTTTTATTTGTATTTAATTTTAATTTTAATTTTTGAACAAATGTTTCTGAAATCTAATAAAAGATGTGTCATTACTGATGCATTATTACTGGCTGGCTGTAATTTTATGATACTATCATCTTAATAAACCACTGGACTTAACTTTCCTTTCATCAGAATGCTAAGCAGTGTGCTTCCTCTGTAGAGTATATTAGATTAATATTTTGAGAGTTACTTTGGTCTCAAGATTTCAAATATTCTTAAAAAGACAAATATTATATATTCTAAGAAAGAAAGTTCAGCCGTTAGCATATTTACATTGTAATTGTACCAACAAACTGCAGTATACTCTTTCTCCATGCTATAAGATAGAACATTTAAAAATTGTCTAATTACATTTTTATTAATATTATTCCAATTTTATTTCTTATTAAGTCTTGTTTTTACTTGCTCTACGCATCATCATAGGGTTCAGAGATATAGTCAGTATGTCTTAATAAATCACATGTTTTAAAACAAAATTAAATTATTACAATTAATTTAAG